GCTAGCTCTCGAGCTACCAGGGCTTGTTTTAAATCTTTGTATGGCCTACAAATAACTCCTCTATCTTAATCTTTGCGTAAACTTCCACTGTTGAACATGGAGGATCTCTCTCGATGTAGGGAGCATTTGCCTTAGTCGTCACGCTTGGCATAGGATTGACGAACGCGGAACCAGACGTGAGCACCCCTGGCTATGTCGCCTGGCGCCGATCTGGATATTTTACATCTGAAGTAAACGAGCTGGTTATACCGACATGTGTCGGAAGCCCCCACATTTTTCTGACAAACCCATAGTCACCTCTTACGAAACCCAAAGGAGAAAATGTGATGATGTATTCTCTTATGTCGCACTTTCTCGCCAACTTGGCTGGTTCTGTGTGGAATTTGAAAGAGCGATTATAAGTTTAATGTAATTATAACATCCTCCAAAAATGAATATGAGAGACATTATTCGGAGTAATACTTAATAGCTAATATATTTTATATCTAGCAACATTATTTAGTATTGTTATGTAAAATCATGGAGTGTAGAGTAGAAGGAGGACCATCTCTGTATATGAAAAGTGTCCCTAAAAACGCGTCCAATAAGGGTGGCGCTGCAGTAGCATAGGATAAATTTAAAAAAACGCCAAAATTTATTAGAATAATATGGAGAAATAAACAAGGACCGACCAATCCGCTTGGTTTTGTACTACGTAAATAGTTAAAGTTTTGTATACTGGCATTTTACTAACTACTCTAGTCATGAAATTTTTTAAATATTTTAATTCAGCTGACTTCACTCCGTCTACAACAGCTATATTCATATCGTAGTTTTTCAGACGACAGCGCTATTGTGGAAGGTTTTGGAACCTCTATTTTTAGTATTTATTGGGACACTTTTTCAACTTTCGCACCTTATAAGATGGTTCTCCTTCTACTCTACACTCCATATGTAAAATGTAATTTCTTTATTTCTAGCTGGGTCAACAGATAGAGAATGCCACAAGGCATAGATTACGGTCATTGTAAACCGTTTATGGTGTCTTACAATAAAGATGCAATATCTTACAATAAATAAAATCTTTAATTCGTGTGCATTTCAGAACACTACATCACACCGACAAATATTTTTTTAGAACCGTCTGAGAAGAATATTAAGTCAAATTCTATTGATTGTGACATAAACGATGTTCGTAAAGAAAACCTCGATTCTGAAGACCCTAAAGTGAAAAAAGATAATCAACCAATTAATAAAAAAGGAACACATCCAGCTAAGATTATGAAAAACAAAATTATGAAACGAAAGAGTGTAAATATTCTTAATAAAAAAACACCAATGAAATACATTTTTGAATGTGATGGCTGTAGTAAAAAATTTTCAACAAAAGACATTCTCGCCAAACACATTTCATACAGTCATAAGACGCAAAAGAACTCTGACACCGCTGCAGTTCGGACACAAGGAGAACAAACAACAGTACAACAACATACAGAAATATTTAATTATTCGGCAGATCTTAAAGCGCATAAACCTTTTTTGTGTAATATCTGTGAATTTAGATGTAGAACGAAAAGTAATTTGCAATCACATATGACAATACACACCGAAAAACCTTTTTCTTGTAATATCTGTGAATTTAGATATAATTCAAAAAGTAATTTGCAAAGGCATGTGAAACTACACACCGGTGAAAAACCTTTTTCGTGTAATATCTGTGAATATAGATGTATTACAAAATGTGATTTGCAAACACATATGAAAATACACACCGGTGAGAAACCTTTTTCTTGTAATATCTGTGAATTTAGATGTAATTCAAAAAGTAATTTGCAAAGGCATGTGAAACTACACACCGGTGAAAAACCTTTTTCGTGTAATATCTGTGAATATAGATGTATTACAAAAAGTGATTTGCAAACACATATGAAAATACACACCGGAGAAAAACCTTTTTCTTGTAATATCTGTGAATTTAGATGTAATTCAAAAAGTAGTTTGCAAAGGCATGTGAAACGACATACTGGTGAGAAACCTTTTTCGTGTAATATCTGTAAATATAGATGTATTACAAAAAGTTATTTACAGACACATATGAAAAGACACACCGGCGAGAAAACTTTTTCGTGTAATATCTGTGAATATAGATGTATTACAAAAAGTCATTTGCTAACACATATGAAAATACACACCGGTGATAAACCTTTTTCGTGTAATATCTGTGAATATAGATGTATTACAAAAAGTAATTTCCAAACACATATGAAAATACACACAGGTGAAAAACCATTTTCCTGTAATATGTGTGAATATAGATTTATTAGAAAATATGATTTGCAAAAGCATATGAAAATACACACTGGAGCAAAACCATTTTTGTGTAATATCTGTGAATTTAGATGTAGAACGAAAAGTAATTTGCAATCACATATGACAATACACACCGAAAAGCCTTTTTCTTGTAATATCTGTGAATTTAGATTTAATTCAAAAAGTAATTTGCGAAGGCATGTGAAACTACACACCGGTGAAAAACCTTTTTCGTGTAATATCTGTGAATATAGATGTATTACAAAATGTGATTTGCAAAAACATATGAAAATACACACCAGTGAAAAAACCTTTTTCGTGTAATATCTGTCAATATAGATGTATTACAAAACGTCGTGTGCAAAAGCATATGAAAACACGCTGGAGCAAAACCCTTTTCGTGAGTCATCTGGTAAAATATGTACAATATTATGTAAACGTGTTTTATATAAATTTAAAAGTGTACAAGATAAAAGTCTTTTTTTTGTCATATTCTGATGTGGATGGATGACAGATGGGGGAGGAGTGGTCCTCTCCCGAGGAGAGGCCGCCATGGGGCGGCCAGCGCAGGTGGGGCCGCAGATGTGTGCGAAAGCGTTCCCGTGGCCCTGCCAATATATGACGAGGGTGGAACACCATGGGGTTTTAGTCGGTGCGAGTCCGACATAACCCGTCCTTGCCCTCGCGAGGCGGGTATGCGTAGGCATTTCCCCATGTAAAAAAAAAGGTTAGGTTAGGTTCTCCCTCGAACGGGTTCCCGCCTTGTAGTGGCGGGAGGGCTTAGTAGCCGGTGAACAAAGAGGAACCCCTTGGCTGGCCCGTGGTTTTGGGCCGGCCCGATGTGACCACTCCGAGTGGGCTTGATGAGCCCACTTCGGATGTGTGTCGGAGGGCTGCGGTGAGAGGGGTGTCCGCTCCCTCTACCGCTGCAGCTGGGGTGGAGTCGCGGAGGAAGAGGAGTGTTGGTATGGCGATGCGTCACTCGCCCTATCCTCCGCGACTCTGACGGGGCCACACCGTTAAATGATGCGAATCTTGGTTGGCGGCGGAGCCATAGACCAGATCCGCCGCTGGGGTCAGGAACGCTGGTGCTTCTGAGTGCTAGTTTTTCCTGGCCCCATGGCCGTCGCTCATCGGACACGGGGGCGTCCGTTGCGCATGTTAAGTTGGAGGCCGAGGAGGAGGGCGCGCGATGTGTTCTGGTGCGCCTTACCTGAGAAGGAGATGGGGTAGGAGTAGTCCTCTCCTGAGGAGAGGCCGCCTTTAATGTAAATAATAAATGAGTTCCAACTTGTCTCTTTTCTCATTAATTCAGTTATTCTGTAAGGTCACACTCTCACACTGGCACATATTGTTTCATGAGTGGATCTCTGTACCCCGAACGCGGGGCATTTCTTCAAGAGATGTTCCATCGTTTGAGGTGTAACATTATCGTATGGACAATTGTCCTTTAGAGTTATTTTATAACGGAGTATGTGGGATTTATGAAAGCCATGACCAGTGAGAACTTGGGTTAGGCTAAGTCGGGACAAGTGATTTTGCATAGCGTAGTAATATCGTCCAATGTGGGAAGGTGTGTTTTAGTGTATGTGCCCTGTTCCGCGCTCTCATAACGGGTCTGCCATAGAGCACGTTGGTTTTTGCGTATTAAATGTCTATATATGTGTGATGGCAAAGTGTGTATAGTCCGATGATTTGTGAAGTTTACAGCCTGCATTGGCAGTGCTGTCAGCCGCCCCATTCCCCACAATGCCCAAATGGCTTTTCACCCATGCAATCTTAATTCTGCCGAATTTTTTTGATTAGACTAATTGTTTTATGTATTTCCACGACTATTGGATGTGTGTTGCTTCGATTTTGAATCGCTTTGATGGAGGAAAGTGAGTCTGTTAGTATAATGGTTTCATTATATTTGTTGTTGAAGACCCAGCTGCAAGCCTTAAGTATGGCTAACAGCTCAGCCTGAAAAACGTAGCACGAGTCGTGCAGTTTATATTTTTTGACGACTGTAATAGGCGAATCACCTGCGGGCACGTAGGACACAAAGGCAGCCCCAACAGCTCCGTCCTCCTGCTTACTGCTATCTGTATATATACAGACTTCAGGATTGATGATAGCATCCACCTCCTGCTGGCTGTGTATGGTGTCATAACCTAAGGTGATCCTCTCACTGGGGTGCAAAAGTTTGTGTAGTGCAGTTGGTTTTTCGAGAGTTATGTCATGCGGTAGAAAGTCTGATATGCAAGACAGTCTAGTCCTTTCCACCGCATGAACCTCCTTGATTTTTAGGTTTATTGGCATGAATTGTGCTAGGACCAAAGCAGCAGCCGTAGAGACTGTACGGAATGCCTTAATCACCTTGATGGCAAATCCTCGCTGCATTCTCTCCAGCCGATTTCTGACCCCCCTCTTTGAAACTACATGTCCCCATATACCAGCAGCATATGTAATAATAGGTACGATTACCTGCTGGTATATGGCGCGTATGTTCTCCGGGTGTGCACCCCAGGTAGGTCTGGTGTATAAGCAAAGTTTGTTAAAGATTTTAATCACCTTGCCGATGACATACTGAATGTGCTTATTGAATAGCAGTTTTTCATCCAGTATGACACCCAGCAATTTGATATCACGGGAAAATTTTTAAGTGTGTCCGTCCATAATGATTTTTGCAGCCTTTGCACCGGGTATAAATGCGATCATTTGTGTTTTAGATGGACCAAACACCAATTTGACACTTGAACCAATGGACATCTTTGGCCGCAACGATTACAATCACATCATCTGCATATGCCTGAATATGGCAACCTGCCGGAAGTTCTGCGCCAAACAGTTCATCAAGGATGATGTTCCACAATACTGGGCCGCAAGCAGATTCCTGGAAGCATCCCTTGGTCATCATCTTGGTGACTCTGACCCCGGCGTGATCAAGAGTCACCATGCGGTTCCGAACATAACTAAGAATAAGTCCATAGATGTTGCGTGGACAATTAATCATTCTCAGCCTGTGGAACAGTGCCGGCCACCAGGCGTTATCGAAAGCCGCTTTGATATCCAAGGAGAGTGCAATTACTAGTTCTCCATTGTCCTTAGCTCAACGAATCACGTCAAGCGCAGTGTCAATGGCCGTGATAGAATTTGTTTGCTCACGGAAACTAAACTGTCGTGGACAGCTGAGGTTGTTGTTAGCAGCCCAGTAAGTGACGCGTTTGATTAAGGATCGTACGTCCCGTATTATTAAAGAGGAAATTAAGGTGTGTGTCCGAAAAGAGATGGCCAACTTCAAAAAGTTGAAACCAACGTACGCCCAGGCTGCTGCTGCAGCCAGCGGGGTCGCGTCGACGACGGGAGGACCTGCAGCCCGCACTGCACTACCTACTACAAAGCCTGCAATTATCATCACCCCGGCTCAGGAAGTCAAAAGGCGTCAGGAGGCCGTGGAGCTGTTCAAAATGTGCATCTCATATAGGAACTCGACTTACGCGCCTGTAAGAGTGCAACCTGTTTCTAATAATAAATTTCGTGTGGAGTTTGAGAACATGAACCAAAGGAATGACACACTCACCAGGCTCGAGAACAGCAAAGAGGTAAGTGCAGAACCCGTACGCATGCTCAAGCGTATGGTTATCCTTAAGGGCATCTCCAAGGATGTTCCTTCGGAGGATCTGGTAAAGCTAATCGCCACTCAGAACCCTGAATTAACCCACCTGATTGACAGCGAGAGTAGTGACAGTGAGAGTAGTGACAGTGAGAGCTTCCGACTCCGTTTTAAACGCGTAAACCGCAACAGCAACTTATACAACGCGGTGTTCCAGGCAGAGGCTAAAGTATATCGTAAGATTCTCGACTTGGGGAGGGTTTGTGTGGACCACCAGAGGGTCACTGTGAATAGCTTCTCCCCATTTTATATTTGATTTAGAATAGCTATAAGGCCCTCTTCTTATTAATTATTGTAATCTGTACTTGAAATTACTTCTTTACATGTTACTAATTTCATTGATAAAGTCAATTTAGTAGTAAGCTTCACTTTATATTGTCAATTAATCTCATTAGATATTATATAGCTGATAAGTTTTACTTTAAGCCTCTTTTTATTGCTATTATTAACACAAATGCTTCGATTATTACCGCATGCCTTTCCTTTCTATATCATTTAATATGAAATGTCACTTTAATAATAATAAATAGGAATAGATTGATTTATACATTAAACATTTATCTTGATTTTTATCTTCATGTCCACCTAGTCTAAACTCTAAATTTGACATAAGATATCTGCATGTTGTTAAATATATATATTAGATTTAGCATAGCTATGAGGTCCACTCTTTATTACTTATTTTATTCTGTACTCGAAATAACCTTTTTATATGTTACAAACTTCAGTTAATAAAGTTAATTTAGTTGCAAGATTCACTTTATATTAATTAGATACCATATAGATGACCAATTCTACTTTATGCCTCTCCTTTATCATTATTTACATAAATGTTTAGATTATTATGTCATGCCTTTCCTTTCTATATTATATAATATAAAAAATGTTTAAAAGCTTTTAGAAAAATTTACTTCGCTAATATCCGCGTTATAAAATAACATGATGTGTCTTACCTAGTATGAAGAGCACCTCCCGCCCTCCCTCAATTGCGTGCACTATCCCCGTCACCACTAATCCCAGCACCGCTACTCCCAACACCACAATAGTGGTGTTGGTCTCTAGACGCCACATTGAGATATTGTAACATTTTTTATATAATTAATAGAGGCAAAGTAACGCCTGATTCTATTAATTATATAAAAAATGTTACAATATCTCAATGTAGCGTCTAGAGACCACTGTAAGCAATTAACGCAAAAAGTGTCATTGTAAAATAGTAAAATTGTAAATTAAAATTTTTATAGACAGTGTCGTCAACTATGGAAACGTTATTTTGGTTACTTATGTTTTCTTTTACTTTCTGTTCAGTTTTAGTTCAAGTTTTAGCTAGCTATGTTTTAGTTCATCTTTTGTTTAATGTTAAGTTTAAGTTTATTTACATATAAGTAGAGTATACATTGCCTTAAGCAACTTAAGCAACAATTGTGAAATTTGACAATACAGTCCCTTTGGAGGTGGTGTAACCTCTGGAGGAAATCAAAAAAAACCTAACCTAACCTAACCAAACCTTTTTTTTAATAGCAACTCCACCTGCGTATCGGACCCCCCTCCCCCCCGAGTCCAATACGCGGAGGCCATGGGGCCAGGAAAATCGAGCGCTTAGTAGCACCCGCTTTCTCGACCCCAGCGGCGGATCTGGTCTCTGGCTCCACCGCCAACCAAGTTTCAGCCGCGGAGGGTAGAGAGAGCGGCGCCTCGCAATACCGACACTCCTCTCCCCCCGCGGCCCCAACACCACCGCATCAACGGTGCAGCCCCGTCTGAGTCGCGGAGGATAGGGCGAGTGGCACATCGCCAACACCAACACTCCTCTTCCTTCGCGACTCCACCTCGGCTGCAGCGGCAGGGGGAGAGGATACCCCTCCCACCGCAGTCCACCGGCACACATCCGAAGTGGGCTCGCCAAGCCCACTCGGAGTGGCCACCTCGGGCCGGCCCTACACCACGGGCCAGCCAAGGGGTTTCTCTTTGTTCACCGCGGGTGACCGAGCCACGGCTACTAAGCCACGACACGACAAGGCGGAAACCCGTTCGGGTGGAACCTTTTTTTTTACATGGGGAAAACCGGCACACATACGAAGTGGGCTCGCCAAGCCCACTCGGAGTGGCCACCTCGGGCCGGCCCTAGACAAGGCGGAAACACTTTCGGGGAGGAACCTTTTTTTTTACATGGGGAAATGCCTACGTATACCCGCCTCGCGGGGGCAAGGATGGGTTATGTCGGACTCGCACCGACTAAAACCCCATGGTGTTCCATCTTCGTAGCAGTATTGGCAGGGCCACGGTAAAGATTTCGCATACATCCGCGGCCCCACCTGCGCTGGCCGCCCCATGGCGACCTCTCCTCGGTAGAGGACTACTCCTCCCAAATCTCCTTCTCAATTAAGGCGCACCAGACCACATGGCGCGCCCTCCTCCTCGGCCTCCAATTTCACATGCGCAACGGACGCCCCCGTGTCCGATGCGCGAAGGCCATGGGGCCAGGAAAAACTAGCACTCAGGAGCACCAGCCTTCCTGACCCCAGCGGCGGATCTGGTCTCTGGCTCCGCCGCCAACCAAGTTTCGGCCGCGGAGTTTAGCAATCGCAATACCGACACTCCTCTCCACCCGCGGCCCCATCACCACCGCAACAACGGTGCGGCCCCGTTTGAGTCGCGGAGGACAGGGTGAGTGGCGCATCGCCATACCAACACTCCTCTTCCTCCGCGACTCCACCTCGGCTGCAGCGGTAGAGGGAGCGGACACCTCTCTCACTGCAGCCCACCGACACACATCCGAAGTCAAGCCCACTCGGAGCCTCGGGCCGGCCCTACACCACGGGCCAGCCAAGGCGTTTCTCTTTGTACACCGCGGGTGACCAAGCCACGTCTACTAAGCCCCCCCCCCCCGCCACGACAAGGCGGGAACCCGTTCGGGGGGGAACCTAACCTTTTTTTTTACATGGGGAAATGCCTACGCATACCCGTCTCGCGGGGGCAAGGACGGGTTATGTCGGACTCGCACCGACTAAAACCCCATGGTGTTCCACCTTCGTAGCAGTATTGACAGGGCCATGGGAACGCTTTCGCACACATCCGCGGCCCCACCTGCACTGGTCGCCCCATGGCGGCTTCTCCTCGGAAGAGGACTACTCCTCCCCCATCTCCTTCTCAGGTAAGGTGCACTTCAAAGATTCGGCTGCGGAGGGTAGGGAGAGCGGTGCCTCGCAATACCGACACTCCTCCCCCCGCAGCCCCACCACCATCGCATCATTTAACGGTGCGGCCCCGTCAGGGTCGCGGAGGATAGGGCGAGTAGCGAATCGCCATACCAACACCTCTTCCTCCGCGACTCCACCTCGGCTGCAGTGGTTGGGGGAGAGAACACCCCTCTCGCCGCAGCCCACCGACACACATCCGAAGTTGGCTCGCCAAGCCCACTCGGAGTGGCCACCTTGGGCCGGCCCTACACCTCGGGCCAGCCAAGAGGTTCCTCTTTGTTCACCGCGGGTGACCAAGCTTACCCGCCACGACAAGGTGGGAACCCGTTCGGCGTGGGGGGGAAGTTAACCTAACCTGTTTTTCTTTCAACTCAATATTCGGTTCGCTCTCTGTGTAAGCAGTTTGTAAGCTATTATTTTTATCCTCTTGTATTAAATCACCATCAGGAGGATAACGTACTTCATATATGCTCTACTTCATAATTAAATTGTTCTATATACAAAATCCATCGGATTACTCTACCATTGAATAACTTCATATTATTAATAAAGAATAATGCTTCATGATTAGTTAATATTATTACTTTACTGCCCCTCAAATATGTTTCAAATTCCTTTAGGCCGCTTATTACAGCATAAAATTCTTGTTCAGTAACAGACCAATTTAATTCGGGGCCTTTTAAGGCTTTACTAAGTATGATAGCCTAAAATTCTCATTTCATTATTATCATCTATCTGATATAGTACTCTAAAGCCGTAAATAATACGGCTTAATAAAGTCTGGCTGATGCAATTGTATTGTATTAATAAATTGTTGTTTTATAAAATCAAATGCCTTCTGTTCTTTACAGCTCCATTGGGACTTACGTCCCTTTTTAAGTAATTCACAGAGTGGTATTATGTTCTCGCTGTAATTTGGTATAAACCTTCTATAAAAATTGCATAGACCTAAAAAAAAAACAATTGTTTAATCTTTTTAGGTGCTGGAATCTCTTGGATCGCCCGAATCTTATCGGGCTCTGTCTTTATGCCTTCTGTTGAAATTATAAAACCCAGCATTTTAATTTCTTTAAACAAACAAAAGAAATTGTGACAAAATGGCTGCCCGATTGTAATTCTGAAAAGGCTGTTGCTGACTTCATCGCTTTACGTTTGTTCGTAAAAATTATAAATCTTTGCAATAATAAACATGTAATCGTATGTAAGTTTAGCTGATTGTAAACAGTACCCTAAAGTTTCTTGCCCGTTCTTATTTAGGGTTACAGATCTGAACGGGATGAAAAAATATTTTTTTTCATAGGATAAGGGTGACAAACGAGCACACAGTCCACCTGATGGTTGCTTGCTGCGGCCCATAGACATCTACATCTATCCTCCATTACAAATCAAAATGTAGATGCGTTGTCACCCGTGAGGACCAAGATGGAATGCCTCATTTCCAGTGAAAAGGGCCTCCGGCCACCTGCACTCACCAAGCGAAACGCAGAGGTAAACCTATATTTCACGCTGGTTTTCCGTGAGGTCGTGGTACCACTGTATTTACTTAGAATCCTTTAGTTTTCAAGCATGCGTTACCAAACCGAAAACTGTAAAGATATACAAAAATTTGCCTAGTGCTGTTTCAAATATTTGTTCTATTTAAATAATATTCACATAAATATTTTGTATTATTTCTGTTGTTTCATTCGAAATTGAATACATACCTGTGGATATATTATTATCTACCGATAAAAAAATCGGTAGATAATAATATATATCCAAAGGTAAGTTTTTAAACTCGTTAATTTCAAATAATATATTATAGTTTTTTTCTGTGTTTTTGCGTAATCTGTTATACATAGCAAAACATTATATAAAAAAACTGATTATAAGAACAAGGAAAAGACAAAACGCAAAATAAGGCGATTTAAAATATATTAAAAAAATCGTTTTATTGTTCAATTTAGTACATTAACCTTTCAATATATATCTTAGGAAGTTAATGAACTACTATTAACCTAATAAGATATATCTTAGGAAGTTAATGAATTATTTACATATTTTTGAAATACTATGTATTAATTCTACCTATAATTAGTAAACAGAATTTACTTTTCCCAAAAATCAAGAAAATAAAAGTAGAGAATCATCGGCAACACTAACCTTAAACTATTGCTCTCCCATTCTGGCCTAAAGGTCTAGGTATCAGGCATAGATATAGTATATACTCCATATTTAATAACTCTAAGTTTAATACTATATCTATGGTACCAGGCCATAAACTCCAAAAAAAAAAATTGCTATCCCGCTTAGGTATACGGCCAGGACGTAGATAGAGGATTGACTAGATAAAGCATTCGCGTATGCTTTTGAGATAGAAATAGGCGGGAGGTACTTTCACTGGGTTACCAGATATTGTTCCATTTCCCCCGTTATGGGTTTATTTATATTCACAGCACTTACATTCATATAAAAAACTTAATTGTTACCATAAAAAAATGTTCTTTTATAATTCAGATGATTAATTAATTTCTCTTGAAAATACATTCTGTGACTAAAAACTACGGGCGGAAACGGCGTAAAACCAATCATCAATCTGTATTCAACGGCGCATCGACGATTTTACTGGACATTCAATAACTCTTTGGATTTCGACGGCATTAAGTGAAGGCGCTAATAGTACAAAGTGTGATATCGCTAATAAATAATAATATGTTATGTATGTACTTAAATATTAATTGAGAATAAAAATATTAAATAATAAACAAAAATTTCCTTGCGTTAAATGTTTTAACATACCATTCCATCACAAGTTCAGTGCTGAACACTGACCTTCGAAAGGAAAGGGTTTCCACTTAGGTTTTGTAGTACAAAACACGGTTATGAGCCTACTCCCGCGATTTCCTGCATGTTTTGCTAAGTTAGTGTCTTGTGTGCGGCAAGTTGTGGCGTACAAGAGAATTTGTCTGTACACGGGATGTTATTACCCCGCGTCGTAAGCAATAATACAAGATGGGTATGGGACAGCAGCACTTTCCTGATGAAAACTTAAAATAATAAATAACTGCGGTGGCCAACCAGCATAACACATATTTTCACGCAGGCGTGGCAACTAAGGCAAAAGTCATCCTATGAGGATATCTATGGAAGGACTTCTTTAGGTGACTTACTTATGGTTAGATGGATTAATCATGTTACCTAATGGTTAAGGTGGTAAAATGTTTAGTTAATATACGTTGTAAAGCATCAACAAAGTGTTTGTTTTTGTAATATGTTGGTATAAGAAGTGCTTCTATGCA